AGAATTCCTGCTGAGGAGGCCAATGGCAGAACCCGCCCTGGTCAGAGGTGGCACCTTGGACCCATCTGGCTGTGACTGACCTCCTGGCCAAATGGAGCCAGCTTTGACAGTTGAAAGCAGGCCACCACCCCCAGAACACCTTCCAGGTGATAGCTACCCAGATGGCTGGGCAAAGGGCACACATGGCAGTAGTGCCACACAAAGGCCAACTCTGCAGCCACAGCCCACTGGCAGCTGGCCCAGAGGGGCAGATGCCTCTATTGGCTGTGCAGTCCTCATCCGGGTCTGGCAGGTATGCACAGCCAGGCAGCAGCCCCCACTACCAGACTGCTGCAGTGGGTAGAGGGGGCAGGGAACTCTCAGGGCTGCTTCAGCAGTCCGGCTGGCACAAGGGGTAGTGTCCCAGGTACCAATTGGCCAGACCTGAGAAGCTCCTGAGAGTGAATAGCCCTGACCTACTTGCCAGGAGAGCTTTTTGTACTGCTGGGTCCAGGACAGGGCAGCTTTTTATACTGCTGGGGACAGCACAGGTACTGGCCCTGGGCTCTAGCTCCCTCTGGCTGCAGATCTGGGAGGAACCAGGCAGGGTTATTTTGCCCCTAGTGGCACAATTTGCTCCTCAACAAAATGCATGTCTGGGCACATGCACTGAGGCAAAAAGCCCCGGCTCAAATTTGCACTGCTTCTATTTCCGCTGCTGCAAGCTCACATACTTTCATGTGTGGGCGCGCCCTGAGAGGACAAATTTGAGCTTTCATTGAGCCCACGGTAACTTTTTGTAGAGCTGCGCTGATGATCAGTTGTATAGCACTAACAGTATGAGGCTCCTCTTCCCACCAGAGCAGAGGATTGTCTTCTGCTTGGTGTTGGCAGAGAGTATAGCAAGATTAATAAGTACAGGATAGGCTCATGAATGAAGACTCATGGATGCTGCCAGAGAGAGGGGGAAGAGGAGAATGGAGTAAATTTTACTCCCACCTGCTGATGAATCACGTGGATGATAATACTTGTTTTTAGATTTCTAGGACTATAAGTATTACTCTAAGCTGTATGTTGGAAACCTGTTGTATTGAGGTTTTATTTACACAGAAGAAGTTCCCTGAAAACTGAGAATTATAAGCAGAATTGTAACTAATAGCCAAGAAACAATTAGGGACTTTTATTTTCACTGTAAAAGGAGTTTAATTTTATCCATTTCCTCTACAAATGGGTTCTATTTAAAAAAATAAAGAAAAAGAGGAGAGCAACACTAGACTCTCATACCTCAAAATTCTATTTTCTAGGGTGTTACTTCTGGGAATGGCTAAAAAAATACTGCAACACCCACCGTGGGTGTTGTCAGTGTCAACAGTCTCAGTAGCAAAATATTTGCTCTTCCCTCATGGGCCTCTGAACAGTTTCCAAAGTTTTTTGAAGGCTTTCAGTCCACCATTATTACAAATGTTGCTAAATGATAGGTTAGACTCTCAAATAACAGTCTGTCAGAGTACTGAGAGGTCAAGTCATGGGTACAGAAACCAACAAGTTGACTCTGCCAAACCTTCTGCTAAGTGTTAAGGGCAGCTCATTGAAGAGAGTCTTGAATCCAGTTTCTCTCATTTACAAATCTTGCCTTTCCTGAAATAGTAGATTTTTCATATCCATATATGATTCCTATGTATTATTGCCATTCCTAATATAAAAACAGGAGGCAGTGCCTGGGTAGCTATGAGGAGAGAAAATACCAACCACAGCTTTTTACAGCAAAACATTTCACTGTGTATATTTAAACACCTCTTAGGGAAACAAAGTATGTCTTACACTTTTGATAACTTTAAGAATATAGATCTGCATACTATCATTATAACAAACTCTACAGATTTTCATGCTGATTACATTTTTTTTAAAACCACTGGAAATGATGAACAAGTTATTTGTATTTTAAATAGATTTTCTAACATTGTTTAATTTGAAAGTTTACAGTATCATTACAGTGCTCTGCCCACAGTAAATATTAAGTAGTAATTTTCCATCTGGACAGGGCAACATGTCATCCAGATGGTGACTGGTGTTTATTCTGAAGTCTTCTCTAAACATTTGTCACACTGATAAATTAAAATTATTCTTTCTATTCTGAGAAGAAATTGCTTTGATTTTTTTGCACTGTAATAGCATTACATTCAGAGTAAGGATAGGAAATGTATCCATTATTCCTTTAGGAAAGGTTGTGACATGGATCTAGGCAGGGAATAAAGCTTGATTGTAAGGATGACAAGCTTAATATCTAATCCTGTCTGCGTAGTATTGGTTTACATAGAGGTACATCTGAGGAAATCCTGTTTAGGCTAATGTATATGCTTTCATGTAATACGTATTAACTGTTAAGCAGCTAGATAATTGCCAGATAGATGCCACATAGAAACTGGTATTTAATTTCCTCATTCATGGGAAGTCCATAAATAGGCACTGGACCATAGAAGTGGAAAGTTTCTAGACCAGGAATGTTCAATGCCCAGTCCATGGGCCAAATCTGGCCCATGGAGCCCTGTCATCTGGCCTTTGGGGCTCACCATAGGTTTGGAAATTTGGCAGTGTGGGAGTAGTGACAGTCATCACTGCCACTACTCTCCTGCAGTCAAATTTCCAAGCTTCACATGGCTGGATTAGGCTTAAGCCATTGGCGCATTGCTGAATTGGGCCCCAGCCACTCCCACAGCAGCTGGATTGGAACTGGGCCTGGGCTGCTGCCAGGTGGCAGGACTGGGCCCTGGCTGGGCTGTTACTGCATGGCTAAATTGGATCCTGGCCAAGCTATTGCCACACAGCAGTGTTGGGCCCCAGCTGGGTTTGTGCCACGAGGCTGGATCTGGCCTTAGCCTATGCCTGCCCTGCACACTGGATTGGGTCCATGGACCTGCTTATCTGGCGCATAAGTGAGAAGGTTGAGCACCACTGCTCTAGACTACTAGAATATAAGCTAAGGTATTTGTCTTTTGTGGAGACAATTTCAATCAACTTGGACTTTCTTTGGTGTTCTGGATATGCTGCTTCTTCCTCAGCTAATATCTCCTAAGATGAAAGACTGTTTTATTCAGGAGTGGGAAAGACAAATAACATGAGCAGAAAGGATGCTTGTTCTTCTACTAAAGAGAAAGCTGAAGTTCTAAAAAAGAAAACATTCTCAGTTTTAAAGGTCTGATGCAAAATTACTATATAGATGATCTGGGACTAACATCTTTGTTTGAAAAATTGAAAATTAGCCATGAAATCATAGGAGAACGGAGATAAAAGGGAACTCAAAGTCATCTAGTCCAATCCCTTACTCAAGGCAGGGACTGGACTAGATAATTCCTTATGTCCAATTAAACCATCCCATCTAAGTGTTTGGCCAAGCTGCAATGAACCTTCCAATGATGGAAATTCCACAACCTGTCCAGATAAGCTTTTCCAGTATTTTTTCATTACAAATTTATTATTTTTAAAATGCAACAAAAAATCATATATATATAAGTAATAAAGCAGAAGAGAAAAAAAGTAGGGAAGAGGGAGGGATAAAAGAAGAAAAGAAAAGTGTGAAAAAGGACTAATTGAGTTACCAAAATATTCTAAGAATGTTTTTGAAATTTCCATGAACTTTTTGAAGCAGGTAAGCCTGTTAAACATGGCTCTCTACATAGAGATACATCTCTCATTGTACTAGATGTCAACCTTTGGGGATGTTCTACTTTTTCAGTGCAGTAGTATATGACCTACTTTTCAAATGCAGTGTCACTAGTAAGTCTCACTGTACAAAAGCAATCTGGGAAGGATTCAGTTTGAATTCCTTAGGTCAGTGATTCCCAAAGGCTGTGCCATAGCACACTAGTTTGCTGCAAGAGCGGCAGAAGTGTGCTGCAAAAAATGCTTTATCAGTATCAGATCTGGCCCATGAAACCATGTCATCTGGCCTGCAGGGTTCCCTGCAGGTCTGGAAACGTGGCAGTGGAGGAGCAAGGGCAATTCTCAGTGCAACTTTTCCCCTCCTCCCAAAATTCCAAGCCTTGCATGGATGGATCAGGTCCCATCCACGTTGGCCCCATGCACAGGAATCAGGCCATACCAGTCCCATGAAGAGGGATGAGGCGCCACTTATTCAGCCTGGAGGGCCAAAAGTTTGGGCACCACTGCCTAAGTCTTACTTATATATGTATAGAGGCAAGGATGTGATGGTCCAGAAATTATGCGAGAGGCAAGGAACATCATAGATACAACATATCATTATTATACTACCATATATATGTGTATACCTGCTTGGCTGGAAGAGTAAAGTGTGATGCCAATTTGAATCCAGAAAAAGCGTGTGCCCCAGGTATTAACAGTTTCTGAAACAGGGCCTATGGCGGGTGCAGAGATCCCACCTCAGGAACACAGCTGGGTATTCGTATCCCTCGGCTGTTTCCACCACGTGAGGCGGGCCAGTAGGGGGTGCTCTTGCATCGAGCCGCCCACCTCCCTGTGCCCGACCACCTTCCAGGCTCCGAATGCCTCCCTAGGGGCGCCTTATGTCCGGCCGACCCCTCTCCGGGAGCACACTCGCTAGTCTGGGGGTAACGTGCCACCACCACCCCAAGAATGGACTGTCACATGGCCCTGTGTCCTTGGGGTAACACAGGCCTAAAGTCCCACG